TATGAAGATAACTTTGAGGTAGTTCTTACCCATAAAAAATTGATTGGTCCTCCTTGAGTAAGCAACAGATCCTCCAAGGTTTAAAGGATGTTTAAAGATATATTTAAATTGAGGATTTCATTAGACTGAGGGTTTAACATGGAGAGTAGCTGCACAAACCTTCCCAGAGAAAGCTTGCTTATGTAAATTTTCACAGCATTTTGCCAAAGTGTACAAATTTTTCCGATCAAGGATTTTTTGTCTTTTTGTAGTCCCAAAATATCAAAAAAGTATGATAAATTTTGACAAAATGCAAGTGTTATTTGCTGGAATATTATGGGTCTGGTTTAGTATTACAGTCAGAAAGATATTCTCACTCTTACACTGGTGCTGTGTCCCCTTAGCTTTAATTGTTGAACATCCTTAGGGAAAACATTTAATAAAGCTGAAGCTCTGGTAAAGGAGCACAACTACTGTTGTATCTAACAACATAAACCAGCACCAGGTTGGTCAAAAACTTCCTTTTTTCTCTTGCAACAGAGAGACAACAAATGGCCAAGCTGATACTTGCTGCTGAATTTCTTCAGGTTAAACTCAGCTACCAGATGTTGCTGGAATCAAGATCAAAATGAAAAAAGAACATTTGCAAGGTATGGACAAAACTGGCATGGTAAATGCTGTTACCCTGCTGATTCCAGATCTGCCTCATTTTGCTTTGGGCTGCTGCAGGGTGTATGTGTGTTCAGGTGAACATGAAATTAGAGAATTAAGGTGGCTGTAGACTAGTGCTTTACTTTGGCTTTTAAAATATGTTTTGCAATGTAATGGCCCCTTCTTGCTCTTTTTTTTTTTTTTTTTTTTTGTGCACTAAAAGCTAGATATCCTTTTCTCATTATTATTTTAATGACAAATAACCTCTCCTGCTACCATTTTGTCCAATATTGTAGAACACCCATTCTGTGCAACTTTTCCCCCTTAAGGCTCCCATATTGGCCTGTGAAATGTCTACGGTGCTTGGATGCCTGGGCTGAAAGGCATTTTAAAAAACTGAAACACAACCTTTAGTATTTTTTTTTTAAATGTTCTCAGTTCATTTTGTAATCTCTGCCATATGCAGAATAAGTGCTTGGGTGGTGGATGTACAGGCCTCCCCTGAATTGGTCCACAGTTGTTCTGTAATTTCCTCAAATTTAAGGACTTAGGAATAAAATTACTAACTGACCTGGACAATGCCCTGCTGCAGGTCATGTGCAAGGTGACAAGTTCATTATTTGGTACACATTCTGTATTTATATTTGTTTATTGTTACGTTCCAATTAACTGTGTGATACAGATCTGGGGCAAATCAAAATGATCTCTGGAATTCCAGTGGTTTAATGTTTTTTCTAAGCTGTAAATTGGTGCTCTCCCTTAAACTGTTGGTTACAACCAGATTTTGATATATTAGCTGCTATACTTAAGGGAATTTTTGCATGCTAAATAGCATGTGAATTAGCCATCCATAAACTGAGACTGAAACCTGGGCAAAAGAAATGGAAAACTCCACAAAGACTGAGGCTCAGGGGAAGCACTTTCTAAAAGCTGCTTTCTCTTTTTGTCTGCTTTTCCACCAATGCTTTAGAAAAATGTCATTTATAACCTTTTGAGCAAGGCAAATCTCCTTTTGTCAGATCAACCAAAAGGGAAAAAAAATCCAACTGTGATAAGGATTTAGAAAATCAAATGATGGGAAAACCCCCTCAGTCCTCCTCGGCTGACCCTGCTGTTGAAGTTGTGGCACTGTGTAGAAGCCTCAGTGTGCCCCCAGTCTGCCACCCTCTCTGTCAGCTGGCTATTAGAAAACATTTCCTCTAATCCCATCATTCAGTGCTGTTGTGGAAAGCAGCAGGCTCCCCAGCAAATCCCCCCACGATGATTTTTATCCTATTGAAAGCGCCACCTTATCGGACATAATCAAAATGGCTCATGTGCTGCTATGTGAAGAGCAAGTGGGTTTTACCATCACTCAGGCCAAAACTAAATATGGATTAAATTGCACCCTGCCAGCACAAAGTGTGCATTGTGTGGCTCTGCTCTGCAGTGCCCAGCCTCAGCTTGCTCCATGCCTGATAAAACACTGCACCCTCCTTCAATCCCCCTTTTTTAAAAGGGCAAAACAAAGCAGCAGTGTCTGTGCTGGAATGTGCTGCAGGTAGTGATCTAAACCTCCATCACCAAAGACAGTGAGAGGATTAATTTAATGCATGGAGGTTGTTGCTTGGAGGGACTTCATAGGAATGCAAACCAAAGGCCCTCAAAGAGCCCACAACAAAGGGAAAAGCCATGTGATCTCAAACTCCTGGTAGGATGGGGAGGACTGGATTAAGGGCTTGGTCTACCTTGTAGAAAAGGCAGGAAATACTGTTGTACTGAATAGGAATGCAAGCAGGGAAAAGATTTTGGGGTGGGTGGGTTTTTTTCTAGACCTTCTGAAAAGCTTGGATGGGAAATTGCAGCCCGGTAAATGAGATTTATATAATAATTGGTGTGAGCAAATTGGTCTGTGCAAATTTTCTGGTCATGTATGTCATTCTTTCTGAGTTGTGCTTTGTTTCCAGATAGAGTAAATATCTGTTTTTCAACTCCTGTTTATTGATTATATTTTTAAAAATTTTTGTCAGGGGCGCTCCACTGCAACCCTGGCAGTGCTGAGAGCCATGAAGATCCCTGTGTTGGCACAAGGTGACCTCCCAAACATGCCACGTGCTGCTGTGCAGACTTGCAGACCTCCAGGTGAACTCCAAGGACACTCAGGTGGGCTGGGCATGTGGCAGTCAGAGCAGAAAACAAGTAGAAGGCTGCTCAGGAGTGCAGCACATGGACACAGGGGTATGAGGAGTCCTTGCTATTCTGGGTAGGGGATCCCCAGTTAAGCTCTGAATTATGTACTTCAAAGAATGTAGAAATAATGGCACTACACTGAAAAGAATCAATGTGGAATTTGCTCAACTAAACCAGAGACAGGGACAGAGCAGCTTTTGAGTCTCCCCCCAACTTTTCCCCCAAAAATCACACACTCCAGACAAGCACCCTGGCTTTATGTTATCTGCAATGCCTATCTGGATTCAGTTTCCAGTCACTGCTTATGGCTTTATCATAAGGACCAATTTTATGCAATTATCAAATTACTCTTTCTTCTCTGTCTTCTACTCTTGTCAGTCAGACTGTGCCATTCCTTTCTTATTAATTTAAATTGGGGCCATGACTCCAATCCTGCTCCAAAAATACAGCTCCTCTCATTATTTGCTTATCTGTCTTGTCTGAAACAACCTAGTGGTGTGGAGCACCAGGTTGTCTTTTCTAAGACATTGTAAAGACAGCAATTTGACTTTTCCCCCCCACCTCTTTTCCCTCCCCCTTTCTTGAGAAGCAGAATTTTTAAACAGTTTTGAAGCATTATGATTTTAAGCATTGATAGTAATTTTCTGCTTCTTCAGGATCCTCCTGCTTGAAAAATGATGTTACTGCTAAACTGCAAACATCTCAAGACAAAGACACACCAAATTCTAGCATAACCTTAATGTAATTACCCCATTGTGAAATTCTAAAAGAATTAGAAGAATTCATCACTAAATTTATACAGAAAGCTATTATTAATTTGAAGTCAACAAACCAAGACTGGTTCACATAACATTTTATTCACAAGTAGAAAAAGTATTACAAAACAATTTATACAAGGTTTTAATTTACATTTGTTAAAGGAGTATTTAAAACAGCACTGTAAGTCCCTAGACAAGACATGTGGGCAGTGTAAATGCAGTGATAGTGGATGTTTCTATTGGCATGTACAACATTGCTTGCCACAGGCAATATACAAAAGACCAATTTGGTTAAATTAAGGAAAAAAGTATATACAAAATATACACATATATCTAAAAAACACTCTCTTAATTTTTTCCTCCCAATTTGCTCTCAAGCTTTCACTCATTAAAAAAAAACAAACAAGTATCTTTTTCTAGGGTTGCTGGGTAAAAACAATGACACAAATTTTAAATTCCAATGGGAAAACACACTGTGGCAGATGCTGGCAAAATTTTTGAACATTGCTTTTTCAAGAACTATTATTAGTGAAAAGTTAAATCTCTGTATGTTCTGGAAATATTTTGCCATATACTGAAATGCACATTGGATTTTTTTCTATTTACAAAGTATATACAAAGAAGCACATATCTCTTCATGTACATGTAGTGAAAAATAATGTTTTGTAACTTCTTAAATGTATGAAAGTATGCAAAGAAATTATTCAAAACTACTTATATTTAAATATATGTGTGAAAGTATTTATCTGAGTAATTTTACTGTATAACTGCTTATTATTCCATCAGTGACCAAAAGGTGGTACCTACTACTTAAAACACCAAACCCAACAACAGCCAGAAAATCACTTGGGTAACTTGTTCACATTGGTTTGATATTTGGGAACTATTATTCATGGCTTTTGCACTAAGGAATAATCTCACTGGTGAAGAGGTGGAGCATCTCTCTGCCATGGCTGCCTGTACTGTTTTTAGATATTCTTGTGCAGCACCTTTTCTGTGTGCTTCAAAGCAAAAGTCTTTTTTCCATAATGGATTCTGAATACTGTCTCAACATTTCCATTGCCACACAAACCACGTGTGGAAAGATGAGTAATATTTATTGCCAATTTGTTGGCATCTGTTTTGCTGATTGCTTTGCTTTAGTCAAGGCACATTGGGTACTTTAAGGAATAATTGCTAGAGTTCATCACAGACAAGTGTGAGCCTGTTGAGTGTCATGAATCAGTGAAGGTTACTGACATTATCCACAGAAACAAAAACTATTTTAGGGATGAAAATGGCTGAAAAAAATTATATTAAGGGATGTGATAAAGCAAACCACTTCTTATGTTTTGTGTGCAAAATTTGAATTGACACAGTACTACAGTTAGAAGGACAGAGGGTCTTGAATGAAAGGGACTCCTAAATGAATTAATTAGTTCACCACAGAGCTTGACCCTTAAAAATAATGCATTAATAAAAAATCTTGGTAACAGTCTCACTGTATAAATACTTTCATGGCACACCTGCTATAGTCTGACATTTTGATTTGACAGTTGATAACATATTATTTCAACATTCAAAATTATATGCTATAACAAGAAGTGCTGTATTCCAATACTGAGACTACTAATTAAACACAATGTCCTTATCTATATGTCTGACCTTCATTAAACTAAATCTAATTTAAAGCTAATCTCCTCCTACACTTAACAATGCAACCTCCCAAAAATGTAATAATTGGATGGAGGGGACTTCAACCACACATACTGTATGTAACATGCTAATTCTCTAACTCCCCAAACTAGCTTATTGACTATAATGTAATACATAATAAAAGCTTCAGTTTATTAATAGGTGACCCTTTTATAAACATAAATGGATTTTTTTTACAAATTTTACGTCCTTCAATAGCAGGAATACTATTTAAAATTAGAACCAGCAGAAAAAAAAATCCTAATGCATGCACAAATCCGAAGGCAGAAAACTGGCACCATATTGTCCCACATCTTCTGGCACCTGTAGCCATAATTGAGACCCCCCCAAACACTCTGAAGTATTTTTATTTCATGCTGTATTTACATATACTATTAAGCTCACTCCATTAGACATTTTGAACTCTGAGGAAACTGAAATAGATTGGAAAGGTCATAAATCCACTTTCAGGGTCCTCATAGGATGCTTCTTGAAGTTTAACTTCACAGCTGTTACAGCTCAGACACAACTGCTCAGAAGATGTGAAATGATGCCATTTTTTTCAGCTGGATTGGATACCATGCAACACTGAAGACCAGACTATGTTTGATGAGAATCAGCAGGGGAGTGTAAGGGAAGCATTCAGCTTTAGTGCTGAGAAACAGCTCCAGTCCCTAAAACAAAGTGAAAGAAGAGTTGTTACATAAATTCATAAGAAACCTGTATGCACTTCTGTATTTAACTAAAAGAGTAGAGGTATACTTACTGCTTGCTGTAAAATTCACCTAAATCTGAAGATTAAACCTGTATTAAAACCCACATTAAAAAGCTTAGAATTGTGTGTACATGTATAATATATGCTATATTCTGATTTTGTGTTATTCTTTTGAAATATAATAAAAATAAAACATTGACCTATGAAAGGCTGTAATACATCCTCAGGCAGTACAAAGACCATCCTTGCCTCAAAATATTTCAAAAAGACATGAAAGATGAAGAGCAGATGGGAAAAAATGCTATAGACAGAGATGAACTAATTGTCTTGGAGTTGTACAGCTGGCCAATGTTCATCCTGAAAATACATCTCAAGTAAGCCTAGTCCTGGTCCTGTCCCATAAACACTACTGAAATTTCTCTGCCAAAAATACACACATAATGATGCACTGTAGAGTCTGAATGGGGAAAAATTGTACAAAATGAATCAGTAGGGTCTATTATAGGAAAAAAAATGAAGAAAAAATTAACCCTCCTGAAGACCTTGATTATTCAAAAGGATACACAAATCTCAGTAGTAATAGAGGACAGCAGAAAACTATCAAAGCATACAGGATTTTGAGATGCTAGAAAAGCTGTCTCCATACACACAGAAATCAATGAGAAAATTTACAGTTCATACACGGTAACAAGTAGAGTGAAATAAAAGCTAATTTTTGTAGTCATATTTTGAAATCCTGTGGTTCTTTTGAGCTAAGAAAATTCTTAAATAATATTATTTTTCATCAACTCTGAAGTTGATGCATGGTTTGGTGAGAAAACACTCACAAATTTCTGATTTTTAAAATCCTGTTAATATGGAAATGTATTCCCTTAAAACATCAGGAACTGCTAGGAACTAGCAGTGCTGAGATCTGAGGTTGTATCCATGTCACTGTCCCCTCCTACACACAGCTACAGAGTACAACTGTCACCAAACAATATTGGGCACACACCAAAATAAAAGTGTCAGTGCTGCTATCTGACACAGGGGCAGGCAGTGCCCAGCATTGTTACAGACAAAACTTTACACTGTAAATAATACATTGAGAGAAAGATGTGCCACCTGGATAAGGCTGATGTTGTCAGTGACACAGCAGATTTTCAGGTTACAAGTTCCACTGAAGTCAATGGCAAAGCCATTCTAGATTTAACAGTCAGTTCCCTTCCCTTTTCTCCTCTTGACAATGTCACCTAGCTAAACAATTAAGGAGTTACAAAGAAACCATTGCACTTACAGGCTTTCAGAATATGTGTGTCGTTCTTGCTAAATTCTAATTACTTTCTACTTCATATTTAGGAATAACACAAAAGTGTTAGTGCAAACCAAATGGAAGAGGATCAAAGGAATGCAGTTTTACTTCTGCAGATGGCCCAAAATTTTTGTAATTACAGATAGCATAATTTTCTTAATTAAATTTGGTGCATTATTAATATTAGTGGCAACTTCTTGTGTTCCTGCCTCTGAGTTCATGCACAGGAGACTGTTTCTCCTTTCCAGCCACAACCTGCATAGGCCTGGAGTAACAACACCGCTTGCCATCAGGACACAGGCCATAATTTGGGATCCTTTCACAGATTAGTTACTCGAGGCCCCAGATTACTTTCAAAAGTAGAAAATTCCATTTTAAAAGTATGGAGCACAGGTAATATTAAAAAAGATATAACGATGAAACAGCAGCAATGTGACTTTTTGCAATAGTTCCATTGTTACATAGTTGAGACAACTGTTTATCACCTCTTTGCACCTCAGACCTGCATTTTCTCTGAGCTTTTATACATAAAGTTGCATTTTATGGACTAACTTACATTTTATCTGATGACATGGGAATATAAATGGCATTATAAGGCATTTGAGATTCTCTTGTGTTCCTAGTACTACTGCAGTAACTCCACAGAAAGGATTTGTAAGTATTTTTAAATTAACACTTGTATGTCTTTTATGCTTTGTTTGCAATAAGCAAAGCCAATTCCTCAGTTCTCACTCGTAAACAAAGGCTAGCCTCACACGATGGTTTGGTACCAAGGCTATTAAACTGAATTTTTCTCTTAATATTTAATGAAAAAAATCTTTGATAAAAGCTGACTGGTGTACAGACTTACCCCTTTCAACAGCACAGTTTGCGTAATTACACCTTTCAAATTTAGTTAATGATTTAAAAATGTGAAACTGCTGGATCTCTTGTAGAGGTTTAATTTATTTCAGCAATAGCTAGGTGTAACCTATGGAGAAATATAACCCTAGAACTTCTTACAATTCTATATTTATCTAGCTCTACATGCCTGGAGCACTTATTCTCATTCCTTTGTAGTTATGTTTTTTACCTCTTTATCAGTCCGTAGAGTCATTTGTTGTTCCATTACACTTTGTCTTTGGCTGGCTTTCAGCAGTCACCGAGTTCTGAAGTGATGAAACTTCTGTGCATGTTCTATGTTCGGAGATTTCAAAGGACTTTGCAACATTTCCATCAAGAGACTCAGCTGAAAGAAGTACTTCACTTGGTTCCTGGTTATTATCCAATTCAACGGCGGCTGCATTTTCAGTCTCAGGGCTGCAGGATTTTGCAGATCCTCCAGCCAGTTCTGAATATGATTCACAGATAGAAATGCTGTCACAACAAGCTGAGTTTTGCATAAGAGGCCAAGCATCTGGAATGTCTCCACAGGCAGAGTGTGAAAGAGAACCAAGGAAAGCAGGAATCATTTCTCCAACAGAATCAGCAGCTCTGCAGAAGGATAAAAGGCACATGACTTACAAAGCATTCCAGAAAATATTATCAGTATTTTAATTACTGATCATTTGTAATAGGTATTTCAAGAAGGTTTAACAGGGTTATATTAATACTCTAAAGACATCCTGTACAAAGTAATTCTATTGAGAAGGAATACAGTCTGTTCCTTGGCTGGAAATGACAAAAGCTCTGGTGACCAATACTCTGGACGGTGAATCCAGGATTCCACAAAACATGAACTACAGTTGGAGCTGTTTAGGGTCAGAAATATGACAAAAACTAATATAGTAGTGTTCAGGTATTAAACACTGTCACAAAGAAGGACTTTTTTTTCTCAGTGCGTGGATAGGGGAGTATTAAGATAGGATGTAACAGGCTTAAAATGCAGCAACAAAGATGGTTGGGCAGAGTCTAGAATCTTCAACACTGAGGGGGTTTGGTTGGTTTCATTTTTTAGTTCCCCTAATTGTAGACAGACAAATATCTAATGGAAGTAAAAGAAGTAAAGTGGCTTCAGACTGGGAGAATGGAATAGGCAACAAGGCTTCTTGAAACTGTGTTTGCTTTAAACCTGAAAACGTATTCACTTTAGATTTTTCAGTTTGTTCTGTCTAGCCTTCAAAATGTGAAAAGTTTTTCTCCTATTCTCTTTTTCATGTAAAGGACATAATGTTAAAGAAGAGCAAGCATTATTTTCTTTTTATGGAAAATGGAAGAAAGTATAAGTGGAAACTCAGTATTATCTACCTCAAGTGTATTTAAAGTGCATGATAATAGTGACATGTGCCAAACACTGTTGAAAGTCCAGTAGTGTTTTTCACTATATATACACCAAAAAAGTATTAACAAAGCCAGGAAGTTACACCAATGTTTTATTTCCAAAAACTGTCTGCAGATTTTTAAAAATGCAAGGGCTATGTTAAGTCTGATATGCAGTATGACAAAACTTGTCCTATATTAACACGCCTAGAACAGTTTTTAAATAGCTTTACTCATTTCCAAAACATGACACTTTAATAGCTTTGATATACACACAAAGCATTTTCAGAGATGAGGCCAAAAGTCAGGACATTGCACCACAATTGAAGGAAATACATTATTCTGGCAAAGGAAATTGGCACAAGCTCCATTTCTACTGGAAGGAACCACAGGATCTTTGATGTCCATAAAGCATGGATATTACAGTTATTTTTAAAGCCTTAACCAAAAGATTCCTCAAAAAGTACACAACTCTCAATTTGTCAGCCTTGGTGGTATACAAGGATGACTCAAGCTTGTTGGTATTTAAACAAGTTGTTATAGAAAACTTAGATATTTGTACTTAGGTCACTAAGTCACCTTGCACAAACAATACTTATGAAGAAGCCACCTCTACATTTTTAGTAACATGTGGCCATAAGAACAAAACAGCTGAAGACCAATTTAAGCCTTATATGGAAAATCATTCTAGCTAAAAGAAATAAATACATCCTGTATTAAAATCTGTAACCAGGAAACTCTGAAGGACACCATAAATTTTATATATTTGGCTCGTGGCCCTGTTGTAAAAATAACTACTACTATACTTATACCCAGCTGATTGGGAGAAAATAAAAGCTAAAACCTGCTAGAAATTCAGAAATAATAGATATTTCAAATTTTGCAGACCTAAACAGTTCCTTAAAAAAAAAAAATCTTCATGCCACTTGTGAACTGTGCCTCAATCCCCCCAGATTTATGAGTTTATTCAGCAACTTGCTAACCATTAGCAGAAGAGGGGGTGGCCAAAGCCTATAAGGTGCCACAGAGTAGAAGGAACATTATCTGCTTGTGAGAGAAGCCACTTCTTCAGAGAAACCCATGGATCAAGTCAGCATTTACTAAGTAATACTTAATCTTTTCACCATAAACCTATTCTTGCACAACATGGGATGATATGGGTACAGCTCATCAAAATCCCTCATTCCACTTCAAGCAGCTGTTGTCTCTATATAAATATGAATTTGACTGCATAAAAAAATACTTCATGTTTAATACATATTTGTAAAACTAAGTTACCTTTCATTGAGTGTGGTCTGTGAGTGGAAAGCACAACTGTGACTGCTGTGCTCCATACTACAGGTTTCATCACAGCACAGTGAGGGAATCAAGTGAACTGGTCCTGAGGAATGAAAATTAATTTTAATAGTGTTAAAACTATCAAAGCTCTGCATAAACTTAGTCTCTGATCTTTTTCAAACTTGAGTATTACTTTGCCAGTTACATTATAATACATGAATTGTGGAAATGTTTTTACAGCAAGAGATTTATTGCTGTAAAAACATTTTAAAGAACATTTTTATTCCTTTAAAATTGAAATAATTATAAAAGCCAAGTCCTTCCTCTAGTAGTAACATAGAAGCCAGTCATGAGTACCTATTTTTAAAATTAATTTCCTTGTCAGTTGAATACACATAAGTGGAAGCATTCTGAGTAAAGCTATCGGGATGATATTTAATCCTGTGCTTTCTTAATTTTTCTTATTATTTTTTATTGTCTTATTATTTCTTATTATTATGATTTCTTAATGTCACAGCTGCATTTGTTCTGATATGACTTTACAAAATGGCAAGGATTTGAATTGTCCAGGTTGTTGTCCTTTAGCATTCATACCACATTCTTAGATGCTCTCTGGTAAATCCTTCACACTAATTTAAATCTCAAAGCCATATGCAGTGCTATTTTTATCAGAAATAACTGAGATAGAAATTCAAATTTTTTTTCATGTGGAGTCACTGAAATGAATTACAGGAAGAAACAAAAAAAAACCCCAAATAGCTACTTAAAAATCCTTTCTGCTTATTAAGAAATTAGCCTAGGACAAAGGTTAGTTTGACAGTGTTAGCTCTGCAGTTGAATTGCCACAACTCAAGTGTTAGATAAAATAAAGTCACCTTTCAGTAGACATAACATACCACAGGTCTGTGATGCACTTCTTTGGCACTGGCAGCATGTTCTGTGGTCATATTCACTTAGCCGTGGTCTATCGAAACACGATAATTCAGAGCCGTTGTAGTGAATGTCTTGTGATCTCAGAGACCCTTTGAACAAAGGGAATAAAAGTCCATGTCAGGAAGTGTTACCCTTTTTCCTGCTCAGTGCCCTCTATCTTTACAAAATGTGTAATGTCATGCTATAAAGTATGTCCATACATTTTCCAACTGAAAGACCCACAGTGACCATGTGGCTTCCAATAATGTAAACCACAGATTTTGCAACAAAGCCTAGAACAGCTGGTTCAACTACAGCCACTTCTAGGAAGACATCTGCTCTCATTTGGATGATTTGAGAGTATATCTTATTCACTGTTACATTTCTGCAGTGTTTAATGATTCCCAGTGATTCCCATCTGAAATTTTCCAGAGTCAGCTTTCAGCCACTGGGATTTTGTTTATATTATCTTAAAGAGCTTTATATTAACAGCAGACTACCTTTAATCTCTATAATTGTAGGCCAAGGCAAACAAGTTACTGCACTTCACTAAATGATGTCTGAGTTCACTGTGTCAGAATTTCTCAAAACTCATGGGTAAAGCAAATTCTAGGTTAGGAACAATTCTTACAATGGCTCTGTAAACCTCTGTAAATTTCTGCTTGTGCTGAGAGCAGCAGCAACATCAATTCATCCAAGATAGTATTCTTGTTTGGCATCCAGGGTTCATTACATGCTATAAACATATTTTAATAAAAGTTTTATAAAGCTATAAATGGGAACTAGAGTGCTTTTCACTTTTTTCTTTCTTAATTTAAATTAAGAGGCAGAAAAATATTTATTATAAACAAATTACATTGACCAGTTAGGGATTTAAAAGAAATTTACAGATCTGTCTCAGGCATTTAATTCATCTTGAATATACCCATAAAACCAAAACTGTTAAGGACAAATCTCTCATCTACACTGGCCACATTCACTATCTTGATGACCTAATCTGTGTTTCACAATAGCATTTGATGCACAGATCTTCCAAACTGGTATTTCCACATTGACATTGCAACTCTGTAATGTCCCATCTTGGATCATGAATAGTCCAAATGTATCTGTGCAGCCTCTAGCAGAGTATGGCATAGGAGTGATATAATTGGAGTATTTCTGGGCATTTACACAGCATTTTCTCAGTAGCAGCTGGAACCTTCGAGTTGGCAAACTTGGATGGAGTCCTGGGCTCTGCTGTATTGCCCATCTCAATCTAAACTTGCTTAAATGATGTAGACATTTAATTTCTTTACCTACAGAGGGATCTGCCAAACTAATACCACTCTATAAATATTACCAAGAAAGAGTAAAAATTGGAACTCACAGCTTGGTTTCTTCTCCATGAACTGCCTCTTGCAATAGATAACACAAAGGATGAGAAGAGCCAAGAGCACTGTTGCAAGTGCACTGCAGATAACAGCTGCCAGAGCAGTGTCTCGAGGGCTGGAAGCAGTTGAAGGGATCTTCACAAGATTTACCTTGGTAGTACCTGAAATATAATTAAATAATGATTTAGGCAAACTGCAGACATTTCCAGAATATAGTCATGTAAATGAAAGTCTGGGAAACAGAAGAAATTTGTGGCATAGAAAAAAAGGGAATGTTTTTCAAAACAAGAAAATGTATTTCTCTTTGCAACATTAGTTGCACATGTAGATAGATATGATCATCAGCACCTTCAGTATGAAAAGGAGTCTTAGAAAAGATATATTACAAAATGTGCCATAATGAGTGGAAGATGCACACCAACACATTCAGACTGTCTATGAGAATGGAAAACAGATCTTCACTTTGAAAACAAGGACATTTGAATATTTAATGCCACATGAATTTAATATGGAGAACATTTCCTAGGGCAGAGCTGAGAGAGTGATCCACTAGAGGGAGGCACAAATACATGAACTTCCCTTAATAAGGAAACTTTCTGGGCACTGACACCCACAGAAGTTCAAATATTGTCAAAATTATCATCCTGCTTTGTTGCATATGTCATGACACCATGGTCATTCCCAAGATCAAACCCAAGATTTCAACTCTGCAAACTCTTTTTCTTCAGTGTTTTTTTTTTTTAAATACTAGATAATACCTCGAGTCAACATTCAACAGATTAACTTTATACCCAAATTAGTGAAGACTTAAGCAATGTTTCCAGCTACAAATGTTTTCACCTTTAGGTGGAAGGTGAAAAATATTTTTAAAGGATCAAAACTTTAACTACAACTGTTGAAACTGTCTTTTGTATTTTAATATTAAATTATTTTTTAAACAATCTATGAATTTTGACAGCCCATCTATTTCAATCTACTGCGAAGTCTTCCTAAATTCAATAGGAAAAAAGGAATAAAACATAGAGAACTTCTATGACAGCAAAATTTTAAGAAACCACAAACCATATTTTACTAACTTTCAGAAATAAATTATTGTGCCTATTTACCCCAGAAGATATTTAGTTAAAACCTAAAGACTATAATATCCTAAGAAATGGTCCATGCAGTCATAAGTTTAAATTGTGAGATAAATGTCTGCCAGAGTATATTAAAACCTCTAATCAAATTGTACATAAATAAAATAGTTCAATCTCATTACTGCAATTTCATGATGGCAGGAAAGAACTTCCTAGCTTAGCTAGTGCAATCAGTGGAACTGTATTACTAAGGAATAATTTTCTGGAATAGTTATGGTATTTTCTCTACACACATCAAACATGGGTACCAAAGTGTTTGTGATACTTTATTGCTTTGTTATACAGGGATTGACAAAACCTAGGCATTTTGAAAAATTGACTTAATTCTAAGACTTTAAAGCACTTAATGCCAAAGGAAAACACTATTCTATGAAATAAAGAATCCAGAAAATTAAAGAAATAACCCAACAAATGAATTAAACAAAAACAGTTTCTGCAGCTTATAGTATCATGTAGTTGCTAGTAAATAGGGTAATATAAAAAAGTGGAGAGATCAGATCATGGCCATTATACAGAAGAAAGTTAGTTTAGTTGCTCATTTCCTGATTTCAGCATGAAGATAAACAAGTATCACTGCATTTTCATCTGCTTAAATATTTTAACTTACCTTCAATCAAACTGTACTATTATGTTCCACTGTCACATCAAAATCTGAAGAGTAAATTCATAGCAGATCATTTTTACATGCTTTCAACTTGCCTAATTGCACACAGTGAAGCAACTGGAGAAAGTACAACAGAGAGCCACAAAAATGACTGAGGAACTGAAGATTCTCTCTCTTATGACCAGTTTGAGAGAGCTGGGATGGCTCAAGCTCAAGAAGGCTCAGGGAACCTCATGAGTTTGTATAAATCCTTGGAGGGAGCATGCAGACAGGACAGAGCCATGCTCCTTTCTCAGTCAGAGCTAAGTGCTATGGCCTCTTTTCCAAATCTCCAATATTACTTTTAAAGAAAATGCAATAAGTGTCATAATAATTTATCATTACTCGAATGCTCTTGGCAGGAGCACCTCAATCTTCCATAGAAAAAACTTTTCAATCAGTTTCTAGGATTCTTGCAGCTGTAGTTTACAGTTCATAGTTTAAGCAGACTGAAAAAATTTCTGCATGAAGTTCCAGGATATCTGTGAGAAGCAGTAAATATATGTAAAATCCTGTCTATATAGCTAGGTGTGCTGGCTTTGGTGTGAAGATCAGACTGTGCTTTGGTAGCAGGTTTTCAATTTTAGTTAACTGCCTGATCTAGTCTTTAGAAGGTTAAAGACAGACTGGACAAGTATTTAAAAACAAGACAATAAAAAAAGTGATCCGAACATCTTCAAATATTTTTCATATCAATACATCTATTTGTATTAATGTATATAAGAGCACTAAACAGTTCTTAGCAATTAGGCCTTCATAATTTGCAGAAAAAAGAATTATCAATTTTGAAGGGCAAAAAAGAAAAAGAGCACAGGAGATGAAGCTTCTATGTTTTTGTCTCTGTTCATTTGCTTACAAAATACATCTATTTTCAAGTATGGTTACATATTACATATTCCAGGAATATATAAATTATATATTTCTTTAATGTCCACCAGCAATATTCAAACTGGAAATGCAGTGATTTCATTTTAAATAGGGATAGCAAAACTGAAATTTTTTTTAGCCATCTAGCTATTTAAGATTCATTTTGTTGATTTTTTTTTCACTTGAGAAAGCAATTTTCTATTCCTGAGAATGTCTACCACTCATCTTCACCTTCAAAGAACTTTTTGGAATAGCTACTCTGAGCAGTCCATTGTAGTCTAGCTCTAATTATAATGATAGTGATCTTCCCTGCAGAGACCAACATTTCAGAAGTGGATTGCTATTGTAGAAGTGGCCCGTTGGGCATTGCTGAACTCTGCTTTCAGTGTTACTCAGACATGTATGCATTTTCATAAACTCTTTCTTTTCACAGACTTAATGGTCCCACTTCAGTAAAACAAGGAGTTGCATTTTAAATTTAAACTTGTACTTACTTACATCTATTAGATGATTACATGATTAAATTTAAATATGCAATTAAACACTTTGTGAACTGGATAGGATACATTCAGAAAGGAGGGAGGAGGTACACACTGTTTTCTGATTGTGGAAAGCATGTGCATATTATCCGTATTTTATTTAAGAAGTTGATTTCCTTTTTTAAGTCTTAGTTCTAACATTCTGAAAATGTGCTAATGTTGAAGGAGAATTGCCCAAAATATCAAACTATCTGCTGCATAATTTTGAGCAGTAAGCGTAAATACACATTCTTCCCTTAATTAATCAATATTACATTATAATGGCAGTATATGCAAAGGTGTGGTCCTTAAAAGCAAGTAAAGTTTCTGTTAATCCAAGGCAGTTAAACAGCAGTAACTCAGCTAATATGGAACATATGAATCCCAGCTGTATCACTGAAATCTCTGCCAATAAACAGAATAGCTGAATTTTCGGCCTATTATACCAAACAACAAGAGACAGGGAAAAATAAAAAAATACTTCCTTTGTCACTGATTTCATGTTTGTTTTCTCCTTTTTTATTTATTTTTTTTTTCAGAACCGTGATTAATTACAGTCGCTACTGGAATCAGCAAACCTAAAAGAAAGCTTCTTGTGCTAGATCAACCATGTGAAAACAGAACTTGCAATGCTGTATGTTTCTTCCATGGATACAGGAAACATTATAATAACTAGTAAAGCTGAGGAGAATAAAATGTGGAATATTATGTTTGGGTTTCTTTCTTAACGTGTCCAGTCAATGTTAACCTAAAGAGAGTTTACTCAAAATAACAAAGCTAATCCAAACTGCACTTAAAAAGCAGTAAAATGGTAACATTGTACAGAGTGCCATCTGTTACTACCAGGATTGGAAGTAAAATGCAAAGGTTAAAATGCTGTTAATTCCTGGAATATGGGTATTCTTGGTCGACACGGGAAAGGAATATTTGCCTATTACAAAAGCTGTTTTCCCATTACCTTTATGCTGAATGGCCCAACTCAGTTGTATCAACCTTAATTTGACAAGAATTAAGGGCTCAGACGTACCCTCAAGTTATGTAATTTAACAAGTTACTGCTTGTCAGCTGCACTGCAGTGGCTATCTGTGTGTGTGCCCTTGATCCACAGAAAAGGCAAGGCAGTGTAAAGCAATGTGGCTCACTTTGAAATTCCTCCATTTTGAAAAAAAAATTTAAAAAAAGTTTATATTCATTTAAAAGTAAGAAGGCAATATGCTTACCTAGCCCCAAACAAGCAAAAGGATGTTTTATATATCCTTATATATTATATAGACAATTCAGACACTACATGTACAAGATCTGTATACATAGATTAAATACGTATGTTTATATACTACTGAGCATCAAGATAAATGGAAAGCAAGTTTCCCCAAAAATATCTTTGAGTCTTTCCAAAGCAGCAGATTGCCTCCCTTCTCCTGGTCTTTCAAGTAGGAGGTAAGAAACTTTATTAAATTACTGTTGGAGACTGTGGTAAACAGTGGGGACAGAGTCTCCCAACATCTGTAAAAAGACAGCCTTTTGCGTGCACGGCCTACACCCAAAGTTCATCATGTCAAACCACATTTTTCAAATGTGCTCCAAGTGCTGACTACCATTTTTTTCTTCTTGTTAGTTTTATTTTGATGGTTTTGTTATTTTTTTAATAAATGTACCAAAAAGCCCTGGGGGAGAAAATGACTATTCAAGTATTTATCCATTGTTTGGAAATCCTGAGAAATATGCTTATAAATTAAAATCTTTGAAATGTGATTTATTCATTTCCAAGACCATTTCTCTAGCACTGTGTATTTTCACAAACTCCAGCTGCTGACAGGCTTTTATGTTTAAAATAGTAGAACAATTGCACTGTGTATGTGAATTTAAAATATATATTAACTCCACAGTACTGGATATACACTACAATGTCTGTAAGGCATAGTCAACCTCTGCTACACGTTTTTCTTTTAGCAATTCAGAGATGTGAAATCTTGGTATTACTATGGTGATCTAAATTG